CTTGTGCTCAGGGACATAGGGGCCAGAATTGAACTCTCTGGCCATGGGCGAATCTTTGGTGTGGACCGGACCAGCATCGTAGATCCATTGAGCACCGCCCTGGATATTTTCATCCTCGTCTTCTAGCTGCAGTTGGGCGGCACTACACATGGCAGTAACAACAGCCGCCGAACCGAGAGCAGGAAATTCGGGAGGCATGTAGTGCCGAGGGGCACCCTCGTCACGAACAGCACCAGTCGCAATAACGATATCACCGATGCCAAGGGTCTTCTGCATAGCACCAGCGGTACCCACTCTAACGAGGGCCTTTGCACCCAACTTGATCATCTCTGTAGCGATGATATCAACACTCGGAGCGCCCATACCGGTAGAGATGACGCCAATATCAACAACAGTTCCATCAGGGGCATCGTACTTGCCTATGTAACCATCATGACCGCGAGGAGAGGGGATCACCGCCACATCTCGGGAATAGTTATCAGAGATTTGCTTAGCACGGTCACATGATCCAGGTAGGATCCAAAACCGACCACGACCGTTGTTACAAAGCCAATACTCACCGTGAGCAGCTCACGGCGGACGGTTACGTGCATGGGTTTGAGTTCACCATCGGCCATTTCGAATAATTACAACGAAGAGAACTTACCAAGGAAATGCCAACCACCGTGAAACCTATACCGTCACCCGCTAAAACACGGCACTGAAAATGCACTGATCAGATTGGACAGATGAGTTGACAGTCTTCATAAAACTCGGAATTTCGGCAGAGCAATTGATATCATTCCTCAAAACAAGGTAAGATGAGTAGCTCTACGATTGTATTGTAAAAGAGTATTGCCAACTACCGATGTACCATGCCTTACATAGCTATAGTATAGTGTTGTGTTCGGCCATCCTAGGGTCCTTCAGCTGTTCGTCAACACGACTAGACATGATGTGGAGCAAAAATACAATACTTGAGCCAGATGGCTACGGATTACATGGCATGCGTATCATTCCATCTAATTACTATAATGCGACACAATCGT